GACTGATCGCCTTCCACAGAGCATTCGTCCTCGTCAAGCTTCTCTACTTCGTCAAGAGCTTCGTCATATCGCTGATGATCTACGAGCCATAAGATGTGGTCCTTCCTATCCCTTGGCCGCACGATGACAATATCTTTGGGACTAATTACGATATGGCATCTTCCTGATGTCCCTGGCAAATTCGGCCCGTCGACCTCCGCCATCACATAGTCGTTGCAACTCCATGCTTGATAATTCGTGACACCAAGTGCATCGGCCGACAGCTCTTCACCTGTGTGAGTGATTATCCGTAGTTCAGGGCGCTCAGCTGTTTTACGAGCTTGTCTTGTACGATCTTCCGTCATTTCGTCGCCATATGTATCTGGTGTTTGGTAAGCCAATATCAGAAATGATGGCAGCGTTTCATCCTGCACAGAGGACGTGTCCAGGGATCTTGGCATCGAGAGTGAGTTTGATACAATCCCTGAGATCATGCAGTCAAGTTGGAAAGCAGCGGTAATCTCAACAATGAAAGGAGGTTGATTAGAACTGCCTGATGCGGTTGCAGTAGGAGGGCGTTCTCGAATGTGCGCGATCTTGATGTGGTCCGCCCATGCTATCAGGAGAGTTGTATTATCTTGCCAATATAAAGTGCACTTGAAAAGGTCCGCACGAGGGCTATCAGCGGGGCGCTCGATGAATGTGATGCGCATCTGGGACTGGGTGTCGTAGATCCTGACTCCCTGCTCATGGACAGTGTCAATATGGTCAGGATATATCAATGCGAACCCACCGAGTCATTCGCCCACGCAATTAAGTGTTCCCGCCATCGTACATGCCACACTGGACCTTCACCGGAGTGGAGGACTGTTTCCTTATGCCCCAGCCAGCCCTTTTCTCTCAGTACCAGTGTCCCGGCCATGCCTCCACACACAAACGATCGTGTACTTTTCTTGGCAAAATTAGGTTCTAGTGCTACAGTGCGGATTGGTCGCTTCATGTCGAACATGTATGACTCATGGGTCGAGAGGGATTGAATAACGACCTGTCCTAATCATAAAGTTATTAGAATTTAATGGCCGAGGCAGAACCTATCCCTACCATCGATGGAAGCAGTCGCTACGAAGTCGGCAGTACTGTCAAACTCTGCATCGCTCACTGAAGCTTGATGGGGTTTGTACGACTTGATGCGTTTACCCGTTAAATCGACAATGTGAACAATACCATTGTGAGTTCCGAGTGCCTAGATGATTCGGGGTCACTCCTTTCCTACTCACATTAGGGTGAAAGCTTTACCAGAAGTTTATTTGAGACTGCAAGAGCAGAAGCCGAGTCCTTCTTGAGAAGATCATTAACCGCCCCGCCCATACGCTCATATTTCAGAGTTGGTTCATCCTCCTCTTCATCTTCGTAGTCGTCTTCATCTTCACCTTCCTCTTCTTCCCCTTCTCCTTCCACATCATCTTCCTCCTCTTCTTCATCGTCATCTTTCTCTCGGCTTTCAGACTCATCTTCGCCACTTTCAGACTCCTGCGTTGCATCCTCTGAATCTACGGACTCGGAAGGGTTGGATCCGTTCGGTAAGACGTCGGAAGAAAAAGGATGGGGATCCTGCCAAGGGTCAAGCACTGGACCATCTATAGGAGCTGCGTCAGCCATGAAAAACTTGAAGCTCCCAGTAGGTTTACAAGCGCAGGATACAATTGAAATTACCAAGACTACTTCGTACTTCCACCGTACATCTGCAATGGGTAACCGACTGTTTGTACATGTTAGAACCCAAAGGTTGGTGCCAAATACAGTAAGACAACTTCTTGTGCGGCTGCCAGTGCCAGACTCTGGACAGTGGAGTCCCGTGGAAACCGTATGGCCATCCTATGTGTCCTTTCCAACTTCCAAGATTAGACTTGAAGTAAATTTCACCGCATTTCACACAAATTGTAGATATTTATCGTGCTTTCTCGTTCTTTGTCCCAGGTAAAAGATAGTTGTGCATAGTCAGTCACAGACATCAGAGAACCGGTGAACAGATGAGTATTTACATAAAGTATCGATAGCTGCGTAAATCATCCAAGTGATCATTCAGATCATAAGTATGTGTCAAATGACATGGACATAACGAGTATCCATACGACGAGCGTCCGACTCATAGCCGACGTATGGAGGTGCGGGACCAAGGGATACAGGTTCCTCAGTCATCTTCTCAGAAACAAAGCCCTCCTCCAACTGCGGTGGAAGTTCCGGATCAGTCTTTCTCGAGCGCTTCTTCCGAACCCCCAATGGAAGAGAGAGTCTGACAAGGTCTTTCTCGTCTCGTTGCGGATGAGCTGGTTTGCCAAAAGTTCCAAAGGCTCCACGTTCTGGGTCGAGGACAGCATTGTGAAGACTGGGATGCGTGGCGGGTAGATGGTCAGGATGGAGGGACGCTTGAAGACGCGTTCGGGTTCCCGTGTATTGTCGGAGGACGCGCATAAGCCTCTCAAATAAAGTTTTGTCTGGTGCAGGGCAACCGCACTGCATGTATGGGATGTGAAATCGCGACTGAGTTTTGATGAGTAAAGATTCTCAACAACAAGTATATCTCAAATTACCTGCCATGCACGACAAGTATCATCAAGGGCTCTTGAAAGAATGGCTTCTTCTATGGTGAGTGGACTGCAAGCTATATTAGATCATCTCAGCTATGAACTAAGAGACTTCACTCACTGGTCAACACGACGGCCTATGTATATCACAATCAACACCGTACCTACCACCCATCAGCTGATGACTGTGCCAAATCAGGTCAATGTCAAGTGTAGGGACAGAGATGAGATTCGGTGAGGCTGCTGCTAAATCGAGGAAACTACGGTAATGATCAGGTCATCATTGCGCTTATTATATATTTGTCCTCACCAGTGATAACGCAGCAGAGCATGTTCCAGGAGTTGCAACTTATTACCTTCTTTGAATATGCCAGGTTTAAGCCAGCCTAATTCGTCAATCCTTTTGGTAAATATCCCTTGTCGCAGCACCTAGCCGAAAAATATTATAGATATAGCAAAAAGCGGGAACATTGCAACTCACCGCGGAAATGAGGTTGATAGAAAACGGACTGTCGTCTTCATATGCACTCAAAATTCTGGTCCTCCTTAATTGGGGTAAGAAATCATTGCTAGCACGTCATGGGGTCACATACGTCGCCTCTGGCTGATCTCTGAGGGCTACCACTATAGCATCTTTCAATAGTGGCCAGGAATAACCAATGCTTTCCTTATTTTCTTTCTCCCAGTCCAGTCGAGCAATGCGCTGGTTAGAAGACTGAGGACTCTTACGACAAAACTGTGATGACTGAGTTAGTTGATCTTTGATTGCCTTCGCCCGTCGAGGATCTCGCTTTCCGTTGCCAAAGAATAGACTTCCACTGTAATCTTATCAGCGATGGAAATTGTATCGGATATAGTGCCACTCAACGCCATAAAATTTTCGCTCCCATCCTCTGACTCTGTCAGATCTCGCACGAACTTCGCCACGGCTAGATTCCCTTTTGTGATCTTCAGTCTACATCCTGGGAGAGGACACATAGCACTAAACTGCTGCTCAGAGTACCCGGTTCCATTATCGTTGACAAACGCTGTAAAATATATCAGCCTTAGAAGATGTGAATGAACCTCTTGACTCACGAACGAAGACACGTGTCCGACACCGAGGACACTCCATTTGTTTATGAGTTAATTCTTCCATGGCATCAAATGGATCGAAGAATGACCCAGTTTGTTTGTGCCATGCAGCCATCCGCGAGGCAGATGGCTGATTCCTTGCAAGCTTTCCAACATCGATCTACACATGGTCAACTTGTGTCCAGGAAAATAACTATAAGCAAGAACTGACAGAAGAAACGACGAACACGTTGAGGAGGCGGAGCTGTTGAAGAATGAGGAGACGTTCACAGTCTTCTTCGTACCAACTGCCCAAGGTGAAATTTCAAATCATTAACTCCGCAGGGTTCACTAGTACAGAACTTACCACGGATTCAATAGATAGGCATGCCAAACCATCCACACGTCGATGGGTGGGAACTGTTTGTTGATGAATTTCTCAAGAGGTACGAATGTCAGAGATTTGACCCATCGCTCAAATCTTGTTTAGGCATCATGGTGTGTACGTCATTGAATGGATGTGATTTGACGAACCTGTCGATAGCCAGGGTAATAAACCACATCCACCGGCTATCTCTATCCATTTGGGCTGCAAAGGTAGGAATTCTGTGGTCCTTGCATTCTTCTACTATAACCCTCAGGTTATGGAACGCTCTAAGGAGGCGGAGGTGCCCCTTCACCTGTGCAATGGACACAAGTGGACCTGGAGTCTTTTGTGAGCCGATTTCAAATGAGGGGATTTGTTGTCGCGGGGTTTGCTTGATTACCTGGTTCTGCATGACCAGCTGCGAAACAAGGAGGAGTTGTGAGCTCTGTGAGTTCGTGCGAATATCTTATATGTATAGCTCACTGATGAAATACACCTCAATATCGGCTGAAAACCGGGGCAGAACGTTCGGTTATCATTGATTGGATCATAAAAGCGATGATAGGAAGATTGGTCGACAACTATAGTGATTAGTGGATTGTCAACACCACCACTGGTAGGAGGACCTTTGGCAACTGCTTGAACAAGCTGCCAGTGCGTACTCAGCCTTGTATTAGTATTACTAGGGAATGATACTCCAATACAAGGGCCCTTCCCGCACCCGTGAGATGTAGCTAAGATGGCTGTACTCACTGTGGCGGAGCAGATCAGACGTCAAAGAACGGTCTCATCAAAAGATTCAAATCCTGTTGGAGCATTAATGCTAAAAACGGCAAGGCTATGACCAGTCTGGACTTGTTCGTAGTAGATCAAATCTCGAGAGCGGGCCCGGTTTGTAGTACGCCATTCAAACTCCGCTACTACTCCAGAAATTAATTTGATGTGAATGGAGCCGCTCTCAAGAACATGAGCTCGAGGTCAAAAGGTTTCGATCTGAGCACAGCAAAGCCACATCATTAAAGGTACAACTCGACCAAAGGGTTCTCATAGTGGTTGGCTGGTCGAATTCTAATAACCTCCTCTGTCATCTCCTTCCTCCACCTCGCATCTGGTGCATGTGATTTATCCATGGACAAAAGAAACGCGGTAAATGGTTCTCTTCTAACCCTGTCGATGAAACCACTCCCACTGCTGTTAGCCCAGTAGTCCAGGACAGCTATTGCCCAGGTGGTATGAGGTTCACGCTTTGCGCCAATATGCCTCACCACCACATCATGAATGAACTCCGGATGCCTGAAGGTAAGGTATCTCGAATTATGCGGCTCGTCTCTTGTCTGTTGTAGATCGACAGACAGACAGAGCACCTTGATTCGGAGGCCATGGTTAGTCAAGGCAAAAAGCCTATCCCCAATGCCGTAGTTTGCTGTATTCCATTCCTCCTCATTGTCTGCTTCGTGTCGGCGCTTTACAAGCGTTTCCTGATATCCCACAGGATAACAGCGTGGATCGTGAGGAAGTGCTGCGTTGTAGTGGGAGCATTTGCCACTCCAGAGGAACACGTCCCATTTGTCGTATCTCTTCATTATCTCCTCCATCAGACGGAAGAAGGCCCTGTTCCCCTCCCCGTACGCGATCATGAGGCTGACATCGAATATTCCAATGAGGCAATATGCAATATCTTCGACGCGGGTCGTTCTCCTCTTCGATGCCCACAACATCTTTTCCGGCACTCGATTTGTGCCAGGACTGAACGATTTAAGATCTCTGAGAGGAATGTTTGTGATTTTCTCTATCTTTCGCATGATGGTATCGCTGACTCTGTCGCTCTTGGAGTCGTAGAGCGGTACGAGGGGCTGCCAGTTCGTTCCGTAAAACTTGATTTGCGATGGAGCAAGGAGCTCTTGGAGTGTCCATCCTCTTGTGAACCAAACATCGATCTTTGTTCCACCCCTCTGCTGCCTTTCAAGAGCTGCAAGGTCTTCCGTCCCCGACAGGTGTACGATGCATATGTGGGAATTCCTGTACCAGCGAAACATGGAGCGGATGGATTCGTCCAACTCCGCGCTCCTTGTTTTGTCTATGCAGCACGTGTCTGACCAGGCAAATTCGCAACCATGGTCAACCTTCGCTTTACGACAAAATTCTTGAAGCTTCTTCCACTTAGGCTCGAGCTCAGCCTGGACTTTCATTGGCTCCGTCGGCATATCTTGATACGAAGGCTCGCTGAACAGCCACCGATGGGAGAAGATAGCATATTTGAATGTCTCTTTCATCCGCTCTCTGATACGGCCCTCCCTGTCTACGAGCCTTTCGTTGCAAAATTCTCTATAAATCTCGTCAGGGACTGATTTGAAGTGCTCCTTGACGAAATTCCTGTCCACGAGTTTGAAATTCAGCCCCTGGCCATCGTTGCTGATATGAATTAGACGAATTGGTATTTCGTTGACGATATATTCGTCGAATACTTCTTCAACAAGATCTCTGAAGTCGTTGTCGTCAGTTCTGGAGGCGCCTATGCTGTCCGAGTCATCCATGATGACTTGAAAGCTGTCTGCTAATGTTAGACAACAGCGTCATGATACATAGTGAGTAACTCACGATCGATGATCTCTGCTAGTCGTGGTTACTGAGAGACTCCTTAGACGCCCTACGAAGGATACAAATATAGCTTTCTAGAGCGGACTTTTGAACCACCTTTGACGCCCATGATAAGATGCGATCATCCGCGGGTCTATATTCAGAACGTTATCAAGCCAGCCTTGTTCTGCACAATGCACAGCAGTGTATTGCCACTATGAAACTGAGAGTTCGAAATAAGCCCTCGAACGATCCAGTCACGCAGTTTCTATGACTTCGCCTTTCGTTCCTTGTGCCAAAACATAATCATGGGCCACCAATCGTTGAAGTAGCACCAGGACGCAAGGTCACTGTAACCTGCATCCTTTTAACTAACATTGCTTCGCTAATTTGTGTCTTATAGCGGCTGGTTGCTGACAATCTGCCGGAATACAAGAAAGTAGACGACGCCCAACATCCGTCTGGACAGCAGCCTGGACTGCCACAGGATACCGAGTCGTCCGACATTGATTCACTCCAGACGTATATTGGTGCAAGGCGTTCCTGTGCTACTATTCACGCTGGTCTCACGGAAGACTGAGAATGCCTCCACGATAACGCTCAGATCGTGTTCATATATCCCCTCAGGACGGTACAACAAATACTAGTAGCAGCTGGCGTAGTGGTGCTCGTGGTCGCAGTTGACTCGATCCACAGCTGTATCCTTTATGACTATTTTACACCATCTGCAATACTCTGCGCACCCCTATCACAAGACAAAATCGCATGATTCAGATGATCTTTGAGTATCTCCCCGTGGAGTGTTGTTCATTTTGCACTGGTCGAGCTCAATATTCATTTCGTTCAATGTGTAATTTGAATTGTCTCATCGCTACTTTCATATTGATACACCGGATTTCTTTTTTCCCCTCTAACGGCCTCTATTTACTTGAGGAACTGGACAAACGACGCTTAAGATCCCATTTATTATGAATGGTCGGGCGAAATATCCCCTTGACACCTGAGGCAGGACGGAATCTGTCTGCAGCACAGATTGGTATCATATCCGCAGAAATATTTTGCATTGGTGATAGGATCTGTACTGCAGTAGTATTGGATATCAAATTTTACATATGTTCGTGATATGACATATAGCCAAATTGGGGGGACAATATCCTAAATCTGATGACATCACATATCTAAACTTTGAAATAAAATCTGTTTTGCTCTAAGATACGTGTCATATATAGAAGTGGGACTCACAGTAGGTTTTGGGAAAATTGCTAAAGGTTGCTAAAGCCCGCTAAACTCGGATAAAGCTGGGCCGAGCGCCCACCTGTTACGCACTCAAATAGATCTGTTATGCGGAGCCCTAAGAGGGGCGTCGTCCGCTAACGTTCGTGACGTAACCGGAAGGGTCCGGTGTAGCGACTGAGACTGGCGACGTCAAGTCGGCAGATATCAGAGACGCGCGTGTCATGTGACTTCTAAGACGGATGTCTTCAAAGTCACTGACGTTCTCAAAGTAAGGACAGTCTTGTCCGAACGATGAGGTAGTCGATCGAGGTAGACTTAGGCGCGATGAGCACCTAAGAAAAGATACTAGAGACTGAAGCTGAGGGGGCTTCAGAGGGAAGTATTGTTCGAGGGAAGATTGAGTAGATTCAAGTTAGGGAATCTAGTACAGAGTGACCGACTACTTATACTAAGTGGAAAGGGTTAAGGGCAAGGCTACCATACTGTAGGTAAGGGCAAAGGGGAAACGGAAAGGGTATAGGTATGCTGGTAGCAGAGCCTGATTAGTGATGTAAGGTCGAATGCGGAATGAGACCGAGAAACGTTGGAACGAGCCAACGGTAAATGATACAATGTGCAGCATGCACGAGTCAAAGGAAAGATAAGACAAGATAAGGAAAGCCACATTGGTGGCACGAGTCAGAACGAGTCATAGCCCGAAGGCACGTGCGCACGTTGGTGCGATAGGAGGGGGATGAGGGACGGGAACGGTCCCGAGGATCCGGTCAACGGATAGTCGGTAGAGAAGTACGAGCCGGAGGCATACGAGGGCGAGGATGAAGGGGAAAAATGATAGGGGGGCCATGTAGCCGATGTTACTTGTAACACCACCCAACACGCGCAAGACATGCGGCACCCTTTGGCATGATGGCGGACTTCGAAATTATGCCTGCTTCTCGACCACCACGTCCTCGTCGCTCTGCGCGACTCAAAGCCTTGCACACTTACTTGCGGAAGGTCGTACCCACCATGGAACCCACCCAGCCACATACCACTCGTGGGAAAGGGAAAGCTCGAGGATTGCGAGTACGTTCGACCGCTAGTACTTGTACTAGCAGTCAAGACCAAGCACGCGCCCCCAAATTCAGTGTCCAGTGGCAAGCTGACCCTAGGCGCACTGAAAAAATCATGGAACATCTTCACACACATCCTGCTGACTGTCGCGTCCTATTCTACTCTGACAATAAGTCGCACGCTGACGGTGATCGCCCCTCGGCCAAAGACAAGGTATCCATTTGCCAAATCATCGCAAAGTCTGTCTTCGAGAACGATCCTGAATATGCGAACTACTATCCCGACGATCCTGAAAGATTCCGTGACTCCACAAACAGCCATATCTCTGGGTGAGTGCCCTCCTATTTTTTTTTGTATGTATGTAAACTTATCTCCTTTACAGCCTGAGGAAAAAATATCGTGAATTCCACGATAAACTACATTCCACGGGCACTGGCATCATGCCACTTGATGAAACAACTGCAGCAAATTTGCATGGTACGTGCTTTGTTTAATTTAATTTTACTACTGACTATGTTCATAGTGCAAATCTTGGAGGAATTCTCCTGGTACGACGACCTCGCTGCTATCCTTGGGGGGAACCCAGCCCTGTCCCTCAAGACAATATCATCGGCCCTGGGGGTGGACCATGTGTCCAAATACTTTTCCCTCGTGCAGGCGAGCACTGCCGGTAGTGCGTCGTCCTCTTCAAGCGCTCGATATGGGGGCTATGCACCTAGTGCACAGCCCCCTCCTCCCAGTGCTCAGTTTGGGGGCTGGGCGCCTTGCGCCCAGCCCCCTCCTCTCAGTTCCCAGCCCCCTCATCTCAGTGCCCAGCCCCCTCCTCCTAGCGCTCAGTTTGGGGGCTGGGCGCCTTGCGCCCAGCCCCCTCCTCTCAGTGCTCAGCCTGCCCCCCATTCCAATGTCCTTGGTGCTAGCTATGGCAGCTACATCCATCACCCTGGCCCTAGCGCCCTGCCTCACTATGCGCCTAGCGCCCACCCTTCAGCGCCCACCCCCCATCACATCCAAACACCTGTCCCCCACTCTCATCCTGGCCAAGGCCAGCTCTTTTCCCCCCTCAATCACGAGGACGGGGGAATGGACTACGACGACGACGACGACGTGCGCATAACTGGGTCCCATGTGACGGCCGATTACGGCGAGAACGTCACGGACCTCAACAGCCCCCCCAGGCGCCAGTCCACCCACAAACGCCAGCTCCCTCCATCCACCCCATTGCCTTCTATCACCCCCCCTCCTTGTACCGAATTCAAACTCCCCGAGAAGCCGCAGACGATGCAGCGCGATAGCCACGCTGCCTTTGCCACCCCTGACCCTACGAGATGCGTGAGCGGGGGGTCACTCAAGCCTCTGTCGGGGTCTTTGCATTCGCGGTCGACACCGACATCGACGCCGTCAGTCGCGATGTCGACGACTCCGACGTCGCAGTCCACGGGCTCTGAGAAGGGGAAGGGTCGGCCGTCGAAGAAGGCACGCTCGGACATCTTGAGCCAGGTTGGCGCCATCACCGACGAGATCGGGAGTATCAAGTCGGAGAAGTTGTCCCAGGTCTCTCACGAGGAACTCAAGAACGATCGGTACATAGCCAAGCTCAATCTCACCCGGCAGGAAAACGAACACCAGTTCCTCCAAGCTGAGCACCAGGACGAGCGCATGGATGCCGCCACCATCCATCAATGTTCGCAAGAGGCGAAGGACACTGAGATCCGCCTCCGCGAAGCGGAGGCCAGGATGCACGAGTCGTCGGCGAAAGCGCATGCTGAGGAGGCAGCATTGCTGCACCTCAAGATCCAGTACTGCCAGCTCACAGGTGGGCCTTGAAGGTTCGCGTGCTGTCACAATGTATGTCATCATTCCAATTTTAGTTATATTTGTGTGTCGCGTCGTGTTTTGTCTTTCTAGTTCTGTTGTTTGACATTCCTGTAGCTACTCTTCTACCTATCATCATAGTATGTTGCCCTGTTGCCCCCTTCCCTCATGTCATGTATGTAGGTCTTGTTAATACTATATGTTGAACTTTATGTGCTGTGTGATTGATTGTGTGAGTTCCCTATCCTTCTCAGCGCTGTGCTCTCGACGCGGGGCTATCAAGTAGTAGGTCCATCAACTTTGCGCGGGAAGCCTGACCTGGTGTGCCATCATACAATCTGTCACCAACCACCTGGTTACCATCAGGGGCTTCAAACTCCTCATCTATCATGCCTCTGCCCTGCTGATGGGCCCATGCTACTGTACCAGTGTCCTCATTCCATCCTCGAGCTTCTTCTAGCCTAATGATCATGTTATGGAGTATTAGGCAGCATTGGATCCAATGAACGGCCGTATGAAGGTCATTTTCTGAATGGATATTCCGTCAAAGGTCCCTAAGAGATTGAAAGCGTCCTTTGAGAGCTGCAAAGGCATGTTCTACACGAACTCGGATCTATGTAAATAAATTTTAAATCAGAAATTAACTGCAACAGAAAAAAATACAAACTGAAGATAGGTGATAATTAAATGTCCTCTGATTGTTTGTGAGCCTGCCATTGCAGGGTTTCTTGAAAGGGGGGATGCACCAGGGCTCCAGAGGATATGCACTATCTGCCCGGACCCAGTGGTCGTCGGGAAGAAGTGTGATGTGTTCTCGATAAAGGCGAGTGGCCCTGAAAGCATAGGCATCATGGACACTTCCAGGGTGACCAAGAGCGTAGTTGACTATAAGAAGATTATGGGGCATAATGATGGCCTATAATTTAATTTAATTACAA